TCCAATGAGGAGAACAGGAATGATCAGTGTTGGACTTATTTCTGAGCAAAACACCTCCTCTAATGTCAAACATTTGTTCCTTGGGGGTTGGAGTGCTGTGACTCTTTATTTTTGTTCTGTCCCCAAATCTCTGTGGAAAGCTTCATGCTTGGATATTTTCCAAGCAGAGCACTTTGCTCTCAATTTTTGGAGGTATTACCAAGAGGAAAGAAGGAAGTCCAACACACTGCTCTACTCACTGATGGTTCATAAATCCATAAATCTGTCCAGACTTATTGAGACAAATGTACTTGTATAGCACAGTTCATGTGCAGGACAATTCAAAGTTCTGTCCATGCACGATCATTCCTTTAAATATTGAGAGTCTAAATGTAGAAATTGAGAACAAGTTAAATGTTAAAGTTGAGGCCTGTCTCACTACTGACGGATGCAGATTTTAAGAGCAGAAAACTGAAATGCCTCTCCTGGTTTGGTTTGGACTCTGGGCCCCAGCAGGACCTAAGGGTCCCAGAGTTCCAGCTGGTCCAGAGATGGACTTTAGACCACGAAGAGGCCTTTACCCAAGCAGAGCTGCTTTCCAGTTTGTTCTCTGAGCAACAGGAAGCCAGAGCAGAGCGGAGACCTGGACCGATGCGGTCCTGTTTCCTGGTTCTGCTCAGAACTGGAGCAGCAGCTGGTTCTAGATGGTCTGCAGCTGGATCACAGCTGGTTCAGAGCCCAGTGGCAGCAGTCTGTTCTGCTAGAAGAAGACCATCATATTGGCTGCAGCGGTCTGCCTTCAAAAGTCTGTTAGACTTCATCTGTCCCTCTCTCTCTCTCTTCCCTCCCTGTGTCTCCTAGTGCGGCTCTTGGTGGGAATTGTTGTCCTTCAATAAATAACTTCAGAGTAGGGTCAGACCTGTTCTGTTTGGAAAGTTTGGAGATAACTGTTGTTGTGATTTGGCGGTATAGAAATATAATATAATTGACTTCTACCAGGCAGCCATTCTCCTACTGACCACCTCCTTCTCCAGAGGGGCGGGGCCGTCCTGTACTCCACACCCTGACAGTCTCGTGCTGTCTGGAAAAGGGGAAACTCTAGGTAGGAGCCAGAATGAGGGCACCTTGCTGAGGTTGCGGGCTCCCATACTGTGAGCCAGCTGCTGGATCTCCGCCTCCTGGTCGGCCCAGCGCTTCTGCTCATTGAGCTTCTCAGCCAGGGTCTCCAACTCGGTGAGGGCCAGCTGCAGGGGGAGCCGGTCGACGTGGGCCCTCGGGGTGTTCTTCAACATGTCCTGACCCAAAATGTAGAACACAGAGTGAGCGGCATTCAAAGTGGGAGCGGATAACCTGGAGGTGGACCGCCTTCAGAGGGGATTAGAAGAAGCAACAGCTCATTTTGAAGTCACACTCAGTGGGACAGATTCAAGATGGGCTGATGCTTTTCTGATGTTCCATCTTTTTGTGCGTTTTGTTGGGTTGGGACTCTGGTTGAGACATTTGCCACAGCTCACCTGCAGCAGCAGGATGAACTGAGGGAAGCGCTGGATGGGTTTGACCATCAGGCCGTACAGAGTGATCCTGTCTGGACTGGAGGACTGTTTCTTCTGAAGGAGCACAAGAACAGGAGATCTGGTCAGCATCCCTCCCAAAAAATCTGCCTTTCAAACAGAGATCAACACCTGAAACCTTTTTTTAAGGCTGCCGTTGGTTGGGAATTGTTTATTGTTAAAGAGATCCCCATTAGCTGTCACCAAAAGTGGGAGGGGCTAGTCCTCATGGGGTCCACAAGACAAAACAAAAACCACTGAATTAAACTTTGTAGAAATTATTATAGAAGTCATCAGAAATCATCCTAGGAAGTTTTTACATTCATATCAAGTAATTCTCACTTTCAAACAGTTAACTCACTACTCACAAATTAAAATAGTGCATTTTCAAGTAATAATTAAAAGACACTTCACTATTCAGTTCACTCATATTCGGTGGGGAATTATTTCAATAACTGACAGCAGGATAAATAACTGGGAATGAGAGCACTGATGGAGCTGGCTTCAGTAGCTGAAAGTGGGCCATCAGACGGGAGATCCAGCCGGTCAGTGCACCTGAGACCAGGTCAGACCAGGTCAGACCAGCCAGACGGGTCAGGGCTCGGCCCGGTGACATGTCTCGTTTGTAATCTGCAAAACCCACAAGCAGGTCTCGTGCTGTGAGACAGGATTTACCGGCAGTGTGCTGTACGATCTGAACGGGATTTGGCTCCGATAACAGATCCGATTAGCACTGAATGGCACAATAAATCTGTGGGCACGTCCAGGTGGTCAGTGCACCGCATGCTGGCCGTCATGAGGGCGCTCTTTGTCGTTTTGGGTTGTGTCTCTTAGACTGTGATGGTCAGAGGCCACACTACAAAACAAGAGCAGTCCACCTCACCGGGGATCGTTAGCCTAACAGGAACACTGGGTAGCCAATGGTAACCAGGGGTAACCAGGGAAGCTAAATGAACAGAGGGGTGATGTGAGATGCGAAAGTGTTCCTACCTTCAAAAAGTCCAGGAAAGCGGGTTTGGAGAGGCAGGCCTTCTTGATGAGCGCCATGGCGTTGGTGAAGTTGTTGATGTAGTCGCTGTACACGTTCAGCACCATGGACTTTGAAAACTGTGGAGTGAAGAGCATCAGAGGGTGAAGGCCAGCACAGGGTCTGTACCACGGTGCCCATCCCCTGACCTGTAGCCAATCACAGAACTCTTTCCACGGCAGACCATTTATGTCTGAGAGAAGTCCATTCAAACCTCCATCAGAGTGTGTAACTCTAGGTATCTTCTCTAAAGTACAACGTAGTGGCTATGTTGATTCGAGTGTAGAAGTAAAGCAGAATGGGACCAGAGCGTTCAGCTATCAGAGTCCTCTCTTGTGGAACCAGGTTCCAGTTTGGGATCGGGAAGCAGACACCGTCTCTACATTCAAGAGTAGGCTTAAGACTTTCCTTTATGATAAAGCTAATGTTGTTCATAGTAAGCTTGGATCGGCCGCCGATATTTGCAAAAAACTGCGTATCGGCCGGCAGGAGAAAATGCAGATCCAGACTCCAGATCCAGTTTCCCACACAAGTTTTAGTATTAGCATCTGCTAACACACATGTCTGTGTCCTAGCCATTAAGTTATCAGAGTAAATCCCTGTTCAACATGAGTCTGACAACTAAATAAGTAACTACTTTAAATAACTTTAAACTTTAGTACATGCTCTGATAGGCCGGGATCGGACCGGAAGTGAAAAAATCTGGATCGGGGCGTCCCTAGCTCATAGTCCTATTGCTGTTATTACTGCTATCATTATCATTAGTATCAATATCTTTACCATTTTGCATCCAGTCTATGTGTAACTGTGGAGGCTGCCTCCATTCTCTCTCTCTCACCCCCAACCGGTCGGGGCAGATGCCCCCCCCAATGGTTCTGCTCCAGGTTTCTTCCCCCTAAAGGCAGTTTTTCCCTCCCTGTGTCTCCTAGTGCTGCTCTTAGTGGGAACTGTTGTTCTTCTGTAAATAACTCAGAGTCTGAGCTGCTCTGGTTGGAAGATTAGTCGTGGTTATAAAGCACTTTATGGCTTTGTGGCTTTACCTTTATGACAAAGCAATAAAGAAGAAGAAGGAGAAAGAGAGACACAAAGTTCCGGCGCGACTGACCGAGGCCACAAACAGGTCGCCGATCATCTCGCTGCGGTCCCACTCGGCCACACGGGAGGCCAGGGCGATCTGGAACATTGAGTGGCACTGATGGATCTCCCTCAGACGGAAAAAGATCTGACGCACCTTCTTTGGACTGAGCCCCAGCGTCTGGGGCTCCAGCAAAGGCTTCTGGTACTCCTGACGAACAGAGAGAGCCCCCACCGTCAATAACCACTCATCAGCCATGTTTAGGGTGGCCACATTTCACTTTCCAAAAAGGAGGACACTTTTATTAGACCTCAATGGTACAAAAACTTTGGTAGTGAAACCCAATCAGTAACAACCAGGAACTAAATTGTAGCCTTCCTTTAAAATATATAAATAAAATCAAATACTGTTCTAAATATGACCTCTTCTGTGGTTGCAGTGTCACCTGAGGGGAAGTGGGACTCACCTGGAGAATTCTTTTGAGAGAGTCCAAGTAGCTGGTTTCACTTTGTACAATGGAGCTGAGGATGAGGCGTCGGACCACCTGGAGGTAGAAACTTAACTGTCAAATGATGGATGAAAGAAAATACATGTAACAGTACAACAGAAACAATGATGCACTGCTTCATGCTGGGGAGACACTGTGTAGGAGGCAGAAAAACTGGAGAATAACAAACAGAACAAACAGGAAACACATCAGATTTGCCTCCTCTATGAAAAATGCTTCACTCCTCATAGCTCTGACAGAAGCAGCAAAAAGATGAATGAGGTGATTTAGGACTGAAAGAGCACCTCAGAGAGTCTGCAAATTGTGAAGCTCCAGAGGTCTGGAGACCGCATGGCTGCATGAGAGGCCAGATCTAAGAGAGAGACCTCTGATATTTTCCTCCTCTTTGGTTTGTTTTGTGTTTCGACTGTTTTCTTAGTGGATCATACTTTTGGTTCTACGGTTTTGGTTGGTTTATACTGAGCTGATTTTCAGTATTGTATGTGAAACCCGTTCACTGTTCCAGAGTTTGCTCATCACCCTTTCATCCCTCGGTCTTTACCTTCTCCCCAAAACCCTGTGGTCTGGGTCCAGGTACTGGTTTTTCCACTGACAGACCAGCAGGGCTGGGAGTCTCCCCGTCTCTTTTAAACTGGACGCAGAACTGCTCTGACCTGTGTTGTACCTGTATGTGTGTAAAGAACCCGCCCACTTATTTGATACCTCAGAAAGTTCAATTTCCCTTCCTTTCCCACCTAACAGCTACCTCCTCATCCATTTGATAACTGGATAGTTACAGTACAGATCTCTTCAACCGACTGAAGGAGGTCACCAGGGTCTGGATATCCTGTTGCTTCCAAACTCAGGATTCTATTAGAGCAGAGCTACAGGTTAGAAACACTTTAACCCTTTAAAGCCTGATCCAAGACAAAATAGAGATGTTTTTTGTTTTTGTTTGAATTCTTTATTTGGCCCTTTAACAAAAGTCATTTTTGAATATTTATCATGTATCACATCTGCAATGGTTTTGTATCTCTGGGTTTTGTTTTGGGGCTTTTCCCACAGTTTAGTTTAGTGCCTCGTTTTTTGGTTAGGGTTAGGGTTAGTCTGGTTTGTCTGGTAAATAAATGTCCCTGTGTCTCCCTCCCCGCTCCTGCATCTGGATCCTTCCCCCGTCTCAAACCATGACATCAGCCACAACCCTGACTGTGCACCACAGCAAAGTTTCTACTGTTAAACGAAACAAAAGCTCCGCGATGCTAAACATTTCAGGCCCCACGTGCATCAGACACCGTCCACACAGCACTGTGGGGTTAGGGGAGCTGACATGTAGTCTGAATGGGTCGATTTTCACTCCCAGGTTCTGACTAAAGACAAATTAGTGGATGAGAGCAGCTTTATGGGGAATTTTAGGTAGATTAACAAGCCTATGCTCTTTTTACTAAATGATGCAGAAAAATGGAGCTTTGAAGCATCTACTGCATCAGTCTGAGTCTGGCTGGTTTTCTATCAACCTGAGAAGAATAATTTTGTATAGAGCATGCATTTTAAATATCTATTTTTACTTTTACTTTTTTTTTTCCTAGTAATGTTTTTATATTTACTTACAGCGAAGAAAGCGTGAAACATATCTTATAATAGCATATTAGCATATTATTAGCCCCCTCTGGGAGAAATGCCATTAAAGGGACATGTTTTCTTAAAGTAAACAGCAGAACAAGTGATTCAACAAAACAGTGGAAGAAGTCATTTGTTGGCATCATCAGTGCTGTTTCTCTCTCTCACACACACACACACACACACACACACCTGCTGATTGCTGAGCCCCTCTGGCTGGGGGCAGAGCTGTGCTGGGGGGTGCTTCAGCTCGCAGACAGAGACATCCATGTAGCCCGAATCATCCTTTCCATCAACTGTTCACACAAACACGGAAACAACGCAAACACGTCTGTTTAAAAGACATTCAGATGTTCCTGCTACATGACCATGAAATGCACACACACACACACACACATATATATATATATGTGTGTGTGTGTGTGTATACGTGTATATAAAGAATAAGATGTATTTATGATAGTTATATAATAGTTCAATAATAGTTCATGAAGAGCCATTATTGAGCTATTATTTTCAGATTCTATACCTGGTGGGTCTTTTTTCTGTAGGAATGACACTTTGCGCATCATGGCTAACTTAGTTTTTTCTAGGCCGCCCTTGGTACCATTTCTTGCTGCTTTCATCAGCTGCTGGACCTGGAAAAGGCAGTGGAACAACAGTAAGAGAGCATGTGGAGCCATTCCTAACGGCTGTGAACGGGGAGGTGTTTAAAGCTGCTTCTCCCCCACAGCTGAGTCACAGCCCCCAACAGCACCGGGGGCGGGCATGCTGTCCCCAGGAGTGATGCTGGGACCAGGGAAATCTAAATGTATACTCAAATCAACCACACACTCGGTGTGTAAGCATGTAAACGTGCTGAGGCATGTCCCAAAACCCCCCAAACCAATCACAGGCTCATAGCAGAGCACCAGTGTGTAACGCGTTAGGACTGAGACCAGGTCCCGTGATTCCATTGGTCCCGGTTCCGAGCCGGAGCCCTACCTTCTCGTCGCAGCTTTTTCTGATGTGAGCCACCTGCGGCGTGCTGAGCCGCACGCTCAGGCCCCTCCTGGTGATGGTGCAGCGCTCCGCCGCCAGCCTCAGCACATCTGCAGGCAGCTGCAGGCCCACGGCCAGCAGCAGGCGGGAAACACGAGCACAGTCAGTGCAAGGGCAGTCATCCACAGCTCGTTGTTTATCAACACAAGGAAAAGACTGATACGGCAGTCTCACGGGGAGGAGATCAGAGCATGGATGATCCTCCATCGCTCAGTGTTTGACACCACTCACATGCTCCTGTTCTCTACAGCTCAGCTCTGGAGCCTAAAAGTAGGCCTAAATTCCAAAGACTAGGCTAAACAGAACATCCTAGATACTTAGTATTGAACTGCCTGATCTAAGGGATTTTGTAATGATTTATGTTTCCATCTTATTTCCATCTTTGCAGAAGAAAAAATTAAATACATTTTACAATCAACTGTATTTACAAAGCTGCTTAGTACCTAAATTACTATTATTAATAACATGTTATCCGCCAGAATTTTGCAATATTTTCTATCCTGATTTTAAGAAAAGCCATTAAACTGCATTATGTAGGGACTTTACTCTGATCTTTATGTTAGTGCACAGGTTTATTGCACGCTATAAAACACTAATAGCTACATTATACAAACTGGGCAACTCTTAATCCCATACTCCTCCTGAATGTGCTACAGCACTAAACTCTTTTCCTTTAAACGTGTATTAATGTCTGTCTGCCAGATAAAATGGGTTTCAGCTCCAGTGCTCTGGTAATACTATAATAAAACAGAATTTAGTTAGAAGATAAGACGCCTACCTCCCCTTTCACTTTCACAACCACTTTTTCAGATTTCCCACGGAACCTCCATCTCTTCTGGGACACTGGCTTGTTTAAACTTTTTATCTTAGCTTTTTCTAATCTTATCTCTTAGTTTGCTGGTTTAAATTTTAAAGCTCGTGAATCTGCGGCGTTAATGTTGAGCAGCAGAAGCAGCCGGTGTTTACAGATCCCCCAGACAGAAGTGCTGACCGGGCGCGGGACTGCCCAAAATAATTCACTTCCCCTTTTCACCAAGCCAGGTTTCATTACACTGTACATTAACTCCGTGACTGTTTCCCACCACCAAAGGGAGTTTTTAGTAGTGTCTAAACTGACTTGACTGATTTATTGTTTTATTGTTCTTATTTAGTTTTTTTAACTTTCAATCTCTTCGACCTAGTTTCACGTGATGACCTCTCAGAACATCTCTGCATTTCCAGTCTCACACAGACTGCCAGCTTTTACTTCACAGTTTTGGATCCTAAGCTGTTTTTTTTACAGTGTTTTTGTTGCTCTGTTGCATCCCAGCTGCTTCAATGTTGTCCACGCTCCTTTAAAAATAGGATATTTTACTAAGTCTCTTTCTCCTTTTGCATGAGTTTGTTTCAGAGTGGAAAGCGTGAAAACACTGAGACTAAGTTAACAGATCTGTAAAACAAACGGATGCTGACACAGCCATCCACCACCAAAACAACTCAACGGATTGTTAAAAAGAAGCCTAAAGTTTTTTAAATCCTGAAGCTGATTCATATTTACGGATAAATGTCTTACCTTGCTGCTCACTATCTCACTATCAGAAAACTCCTCGTAACTCTCGAACTCGCTGGAGCCCCAGCTGCTGGTCTCCTGCAGACCGGGAGGCTGGACGTCCTCGTAGATGTCATCCACCTCTGCACAAATCCCAAAACAACCAGGTTTCTCAGAATGAAGCCAACAATCTGCATCCTCTACATCCAAACCATGGCCCTCGCCGCTCTAAAAGCTCTGGTAGTTTACAGAAAGTTGTCTCCTGTTTCTGTTTCTGCATTTAGACGCTTTTATCCACAGCGACTTACAAAGTAAACACAATGGTCCAGTTATCATAAGTTCTCTGGAGGAAAACCCCCAGTCAGAATCAGTGGAGACAGCAAAGAGAGAGAGGGAGGAACAGAAAGAGGAGTAGAGGGTCCAGAGGTCTGGAGGAGTTAGGATAGGAGCTGCTCTGTGGAGAGGGGGGGGGTCTGGAGGAGGAGTTAGGACAGGAGCTGCTCTGTGGGGGGGTTTTCTTACCCTCCACTGGGGGCTGTGGGATTTCAGGGGGCACGTCGTCATAGATGGCCTCCCTGGAGCTGCTCTCTGGGACTTGGGCTCCAGGTCCTGGTGTTCCAGTCCCGGCCTGCAGACCCACTGAGGAGGACGTGTCCATGTCCTGGAGCGCCGGGGGGCCGCTGAGCGGCGGGGGGCTGCTGAGCTCCGGGGGGGCGCTGGGCGCCGGGGGGGTCCACTCTTCCGGGTCCTTTTCAGGCCTCCCGGCACACTTTCCTGCCAAACAACACGGAGCTCTCACCACCCAGAGTTCTCAAGGATAGCTGGGGTGGGGTTTGGGGTTTTTTTTTGTTTGGAATAGCTGCATCTGCCACCCTTAACTTGCATTTGTGTCTGTTCTCAGATGCCGTCGCCATGGTAACACCTTCCCCACCTTCCCCAGATTCCCCAGATTTAAAGACGGCTTTCATCTGATTTGAATCCTCTTTGAGATCAGGTTATCTATCACTGTATTCCAGCTGTCTGTTGTTTAGACCAACAGAAAGTATTAACTTTATTAGGAATTGGTTGCTCTTTTTCCGGTTAGGCAGACATTAGATTCCAGCAATGAATTAAAGCCTCTTCAGGGTCAAAGTCCATCCCTGACATTTAAATGGCTATCCGTGTGTCACAGCAGTCTGTTCTCCCTTTATCCTTTATGGACTCATCACCAAATAACCTAATTCCCACTTTTTTCTGCCATAGAGACGGTATAAACTGATGATTTGGTTCCTGGATGTAAAGCGTGTGTTTCATCTTATTCACCATTTAACTGGTTTTAGTTGAACTGGTTCCAGGACTGACTTCTATGTTAAAATATTGGTAGGTTGTTTCAAATCTTCCATCAGAATACTGTGTAATTCCTAGAATTGGTTCCAAAAACCTACAATAACTCCTTAATAAATACTACAGATAATAGAGGTGGAGAGTCAGATACAGGACCAACCCTAATTTAGTCTGACTTTACTACAGGAACTTTAAACTAACTTATCTTATTTATTTTTATTTAATTTTTATATTTTATATGTATTTTCTATGACTTCGACGTCATATGTGAACTTTAAACTAACATAGCTTATTTATTTAGATTAAATTTGTATGTATTTCTTTCTATTTTTCAGATTTTTTTTATCTAACTTACATTACTTTAACTTAAAATTGACTTAGCTTATTTGTTTTTGTTTCATTTCTATAGTTTATATATTTTTTCTATGACTTCGGAAATTTACTTTGGGTGTTTAGTTGAATATTTGATCAAATTTCGCTTTGTATGTTGGAAAATGTGTATGTTTAGGCATCGAAAGTAGAGGTTCTGCTGTATTTTATATTGTCAATTGACCGTGTATTCCATTCTTCATCTTCTTATGATTGCAACTGTTCTCTGATGTCCAGTGAATGTCTGGACCCTCCAGTACTGACCCTAACCCTGACAGGGATGGCCACAGCATCCAGCTCCGCTGTAAGTTTGACTAAGTGTTTTTCTCCTCTGTGCTGTGTACTTTGACCAAAGGTTGGCTCATCAGCTCTACATCCTGACTTACAAAAGAAAACAGACGTCCGCCTTTGCTTTTTTTGTCCATTACTTTTGTGCTCAAAGCACAATTTCATGAAAACACCTCAAGCTCACGCCGTACTTTGCCCTCTCCTCCCCTTAATTTTCCAAAATACTGCTTTGCAAAGACAGCAGCTGAAGAACAGGTTGAACACAATAATGGGGCTTGTTGAGACAAGCATGATGAAATTCAACATCATACAAAAATACTAAGCTTTAGATAGTGCCACAAGCAGTGCAGCTTTAAGCTAAAGGCACGGCTCACAGCCAAGCTCTGCCCAATGGTGGAAATCTTCCTAAGCATCACTACAACAGATACAAAGCAAGAGTATAAGGAGCCTCTAGTCTGTCTCTATACAGGAACACGGGGAGAAAATGGGAAGGAAGTGGGGAAAAACTGAAAAGCGGCTATTGTTCTGTCCTAAAACTACACATGGCTAATGGGCTGGTTACCTTTGTTTAAGCGGTGCGTGAGCTCTGAAACCACACTCAGCCACTCCTTGGCTTTGTGTGCTGTCTGGACTGCGCCCGTGAGAGTGCACAGAGAGAGGAAGAGCAGAGTGAAACCCGGGCTCCAGCTGCCTCGGACTTTACGCTGTGAGAACGTTTCTCCTTACCCTCGTAGATACTGCAGGCTTTCCAGGAGCCCTCGGACTCTGCGCTCACTCCCAGCTCAGAGGAAATGGAGCACCTGCAACCGCATTTTAAAGATATTCAGACTCACAACTGAGGGGTTCCGAAACAAGACACGTCTCATCTGTTTGGGAGTTTGTTTCTGTCCCTTTTGTTGAATACTGACACTACAAATGTCTAAACAAAGCACACATTAAGTCTGAATGACAAAAAAAGTAAGATTTTAAATGATTACTAGCTTAAACTATCAGCACACTTTGGAAATGAGACATAAGGATGTGAGCACACCTTTACTGAAACACTTTCTTTTTTACCCTGGAGTGTTTTCTAACTGTTGACCTATTTCAAATCCGCCCATCATCTGTGTAACCTGTTTCCAGGAGGGAGGCGTCTGGGCTGCAGACCCTCCCGCTAACGCTGGACTAGAGGCGGGGACACCTGGGACAGGTCGGTCCATCACACGGCCACACAGACTCACAATCACACACACACACTCACACTCAGAGCGTTCGCTTAACCTAACGTGAGTTTTTGGACATGCAAACTCGATCAAATCTTCTTTTAAAGCTAAAGTTCTTCAGGGAACTGTCCAGGCTCAGCTTTGTGTGTAGTGTGCTCAGTCGGAGTTTCCGTCAGCTTCCAGAGCTCCTCACAGAAAAAAAACGCTGAGCTGAAAGGTCCCAGAGCTCTGCCCCGGTGGGGGACCCGGTCTGAGCGGGGCTGAACGGATCCTGAATACCACCAGCCGGACTGGGTTTCTCTCTACAGGACTCTCTCTCAGGACTCAGAGATGAGCTGTACGTTGGGCTGGGAGTGAGGCTCTACCAGAGGACAGCTCACAGCTCTCTTTTTAGATCCAGGACTTTCAAACAATAGCAAACATGACCACAGCGTTTACTCACCCCTCTGGGGAATCCCTGACCTCCATATCTGACAACAAAAAAAAGAAAAAACAACAAAAATAAATACACACAGACATATATAATACGTTTATTTTTTTTAAAGTGCCTTTCCTGCCACTAAAGGACACTTCACAGAGACCGTCACCCTCAAGACGACATGGAAACATAAAACTGAGCAGAATGAGGGGAATGTTAGAGTTAGGGGTGGTGAGGTGGGTAAGAAATTTTAAACAGGTGGGTTTTGAGATTTTGTTTTGAAAAGAGGGAGAGAGTCAGTATTTCAGATGTCAAATGGTAAAGTGTTCCAGGGTTGGGGAGACATATGTATATATATATATATATATATACAGTGCCCTCCACATTTAATATGTGGTTGAGGATTTCTAAAAAATTCTCAATTTTTGGGAACCAACATAGAACCCAAATGCAAAAAAAGTCGAAAAAATAAAATCACACAATTTAGAAAACAAAAACAAACGTGTCACACAATTATTGGCCCCCCTAACAGTTATGCTGAAAAATGTAAGTGATTTCCTTTGAATATATTTTGCTGTAGTTTCTAAAGTTGGTCAGGGTATCTAGGAACCTTTAATTAGTAATTCATGACTTCCTGTTTCCCTGGAGTAGAAATATGACGATTTCACGTTGTTTATTTTCTAAACGTGTGATTTAATTTTTACCACCAAAGTAATGGACTTAAATAAAAGGTTGGATTTTTTTTTCTTTTTTTTTCATTTGGGTTCTATGTTGTTGTTTTTTTAAAGAGAATTTTTAGAAGTCCTCAACCACATCATAAACAGGGGTGCCAATAATTGTGGAGGGCACTGTGTATATATATATATATATATATATATATATACAGTATATATATAAATGTCTGAATTTACCTGTGCAGCTTGGAGTGGTGGTTTCATTCCAGTGTGCGGTTCCTGTGTTGGCATAGAGCTCTGCCATCGTTACGTCTGAGGTGTTCTGAGTGGGAGAAACAGAGGAGGTCAGCTGCTCACAGCCCTGCATCACCTCCCTGTCATACAGGCACACAGAAGGAGGGAAACATAAACATACCGAGCATCTTTGGACAGAAAGGCTTAAAAACAAAACATTCTTCTGTCAGCAAAGAATGGAAATTATTTAAGTGACTTTACAAGCTTCAGGTCAGCCTTGGATAAGGGGTTTTCATCCAGCTGTATATAACTCTCTATACTAAGACATTCCCCCACTTCCAAGTAAAAAGTCCTACATTTTGGGGTCAGTGTCTCCTGGGTCCAGTCACTGCTGGGGGGTTTCTGTGTGGAAGGTGTATGTTCTCTAATAGTGCACACGGGTTCTCAGGCTTCCTTCCACAGTCCAAAAACATGCACATGAAATCGACTGGACACCCTAAACCGCATAAAACTGCAGAAAATAAGTCAAATGTCTCCAAAAATCCTCATAACATTCTGCTTTCTTCCACCTACTTGTCATTATGCTGTCCCCCTTTTTTCAAATGACAACGGTTCAATAATTATCATTATTTCTGTGGTGCTGTTTTCTTTCTTTCTTTTCTTTCATTAGCTGTTGTGGTCACATTGACAGTAATGTCCAGAGGGACACTGACTGACCTGGGCCACAGATTTCTAATCTGCCTGCTGGAGGATCCCACTCAAAGGTGGGAAACATGAATGTGTCACAGATCCAAGTAAGTAGTTGTTGTTGTTTGGATTCATTTTAGTAGATCGGCTTAATACCTGTGGGCAGAATGGAGTAAAGGGCTGTCTGACCAGGCTCCTGATTAAAGCTAAGGCGTGTGGAGCAGATGGCTGAGCCGGGCTTTGCTAAGCGTCATGGGAAAGAGGTAAAAACTCAACTAGAGGATAAGCTGCTGTTTCGCTAAAAACCAAAGAGAGATTACACTCTAAAGATAGCCAGCATGTGCTTTTGTCCAAGCAGCCTTCACCTGTGAACGAGGCAGGGCAGGTTTATAAGTACAGCACAGACAATTCAAAGTGCTTCACAGAGAATTTAAAAGCGGAAAAACAAGAAAATTAAAATTAAAATTAGACAGATGAAAAACGAAGGGTGCAGATAAAATCCATCCAGTTTCCATCAGCACAGTTAAACACAAGCGTTTTCATCTGGATTTAAACATTCAGAGTCTGTGTCACGTCTTCTGGAAGACTGATCCAGATTTTAGGAGCATGGAGCTGAAACGAAGCCTCTCCTGGTTTAGTTCTCACTCTGGGCCCCATCAGGAGACCAGAACCTGGTTCTGAGAGTCCAGCTGGTTCCTCTGGCTCTAACATGTCAGAAAGGTGTTTCGGTGCCCATGAAGAGGCTTGTTCACGAGCAGAGCTGTTTTAGAGTGACAGGAAGCCTGAGCAGAGACCTGAGAACTGCACTGATGTGGTCCTGGTTCCTGGTTCTGGCTCCAGCTCACTCATACACGCCCAAGCGACAGCAGTGGGATTCGTAAAAAGACTTTGGAAGGACTATTCTGCCACTTTCTATAGAACAGTTCAGTCAGAAGAGCAGCCTCCTCCAGAGGGCTGGTGAGGAGCTTGTCCCCGTTGCTGTCCAGGTCTGGCCTGATCTTAGCCAGCAGATGGTGAGTGGGCCAGAAGGCTGTCCAGGAAACAGCAGGGGATTAATGAGTTAAGCTTCACCCAAAGGTGAATCTCTCAGGCCAAATGCTGCACCAGACTACAACCATCCCGGACCACATGGACTCTGGCTGCTCTACTCAAGTCTGGTCATTTGACTGGTATTGATAAAAGGGTGACCATTAGGGTGTAACAAGCCCTGCTAACAGGTATCAGCCAGTAGGAACTGATATTGTGGCTCAAGCTGGGAAAAAGAGATGACTTTGGCCAAAAGGAGAAGTAGTTCCCCAGCCGGGGTAAAGCAGATAGTCTGTAGTATCCTAAAATAAGATGTTATGAGCAATGTTTTCGTCAAAAAAAGAGAGTCAAATGCATCAGAAAGGATTGAGGGACGTAAACTAGATGTCAACCAGAGCATGGTGGTGAAAGAATTGACGACCAGAGCAAATCTACTTCTCTCCGCTCTCCTTTTGGATTAGATTAGATTGTCCAAAAGTTCATACAGGGGCCAAAGCCCAAACTAAAGTCCAGAACTGTTGAACTGTTTCAGATGAGGTGGAGCTGCTTTTGAACACGGCTTTGTGTTTGTGGGTGAGAAGGCTGACAGTATGGTCCGATTTGGTCACAGGTGCTCCGGTTCTGGCTTTGTGAGCAGGTTTTATGTTTCTGAGGCTAATAAGCGACATTTACTGTTCAAAGTCAGGCAGTGCAGCCTGTAAACTGAAGCGGTATAAATCCCTCATCAGGGTTAGCAGTAGGTCATAGACTCAGTCTCATGTTTCCCTTTACGGTTTTATCCATGAACAAAATACACTTACGATGAGCCTGTTGTAATAAGGGACTTAAGTAGGGACTGGCTCTGTTTTTCTTAGAAACAAAGGGACATTTCTAAGCTGAGCAGGGCACTGCACAGAGGCTAAAGGTCTACCTTTATGGTTGCCTAGACCATAAAGCCTCATACGGAGCTTACATGACTCACTCCGGGGCTGATGGATGTGACGGAGGTCATTTTCTGGCTCAAATCGAACTCTGTGAAGATGGCTCCACTCCACACTTGGATAGAGCTGTAAGGCAAGAACAGTTGTTGGTGAGAAGAGTCTCACATAAGCACACTGATATCCAAAAGCTGGATGGAGGGACCCTGCTCAGGTCCCATTAACCGGGAGAACACACTCCCTCCTCTGACGGGGATTCCCTCAGATGGCGTGTTTATGGTAACAAACAGGTCTGGGAGCAGCTTGTTAGGGAACCCACCGACATGCCAATGACAGGCCACGGCTGTTTTCCGCCAAAAGCATTCTGCATTCCTCAGCAAATCCAGACACGCTCCTCCCAAACTGCTCCTCGAGCAAAGTTCACACATTCTGCTCCAAGTACAAGGAGACATTTTATCATCAAGATGTAAATATTCTGATGGAATCCTCTGAGAAAAGTTCCCCATAAATATTTCATGAGGTCACATGGAAATATTCTGCATTCTGAGGAAAATATAAAGGCCGCACAGCTAAAGGAACAATGGGAAATAGAGGGGGAGACCGGCGGACCAGAAACCAGTCTTTGTGCCCTCCAATGGGATCCACCAGCTTCCACTGACAGGAGCTCATTCTCAAAGCCCCCGCCTTTGTTTTTTTAATACCAACTCATTCAACAACAAATATAGTTAGCCTGCACATAGTTAGCCTTTTAAATCAAACTTGTAAAGTCTTCCCCAACAAAGGCTGTGACATTTACCACCCCTCTGTGGTGGACTCCTCTCACAGACTCTCTCTCTGTGGTTCCCTGCACATCGTCTCTTGGTTTTCATCGGTCAAAATGAGCTACTTCACACGTGTTAGCGCGTCTCTTCACTTATCTGTGAAGAGCGTGGTTCTGTTAGCCTTTTTGAGGCGTGTTGGCTGGTGCTAAACCTCCAGGAGGCTGGGTTAGTGGAGGCAGGAGGAAGTCCTCTAAACCTTCTGCCTCCCACTCCTCCCTCCATCACCCAGCGTGAGAACTGCCTCCCCCCGATGCACCTGTTGCCAGACCCTTTGGTTA